TCTCTCTCTCTCTCTCTCTCTCTCTCTCTCTCTCTCTCTCTCTCTCACAAACACACGCACACATACACGATGAGTAATTATTACATTAGTATGCCTCCTTGAAGTGAACATGATGGGACGTGTTTTAAATACCCCACTGCCGTGCCCCGTCTCGTATAGCTTTGACGACTTTGCACGTTTTGAACTTCAATTGTTTGGTGCCTGTGTGGCTCGCTTAGCTACTCTGTAACTGGGTTAAAGGGCACTGAATTTCAACTTTGATCGGTGGTGGTGGAAGGTTGCGTGTGCCGCTCAGAGGGCAACGAGGCACAGAAACCACCTGTTGTGGTGACGACATCGTTATAACCTATCCAGTGTATCATAAAATGTTTTAAACGCTGTCACTTTTAAACACGTTTTTGTTAATGCAAAGCAGCGACTGGGAGTGAAGTCCTGTAAGTGTGTGTCATCGACAGTAGTTTTACTGATTGCGTGTGCCACTGCAGGTGACAGCCTACGTGGTGCACGTTTTGTATGTGTTGTGTGAGTGCGTATACCGTATTGTGTGTGAGAGCAGTAGGCTACACACTGATGATGCTTTGCCAGTAATTTCCTCGGTGCCCCAATGCTCTCATTGGTGCGTCCCTCCAACGTGTCACCAGTTGTGGTGGATTACCCCAGATATCTACACCATCGGGAGGGTGAAACACCATTCCTTTCGCTCAACTCCTGTTTTCACGGTGTCCAGCTTTCAACAAGGACCTCTGACCACATTTGAGAAACTTGTGACTTCCAAAAAACAACTCAGGAAAGACGATTTGAAGCTTTTTATTTGTCTTTTTACGCACGCCTAGCACAGAAATGCATTGTTTTACTTCAGAGAGGATGACGCAGACTTCTTTATTCCCAGCGTTTCTGTTTTTGGCACCCGTGCTGTTGAAGGGTCTCTGGGTCAGTGGCTCCCCGGGCTGCGCGTCCTGTGGCTTGGAGGCGATGGATAAAAGCGCAGAGGAAAGTCTGATGATAGAAATCGTCAAGCAGCAACTTTTGGAAAAGCTGCACCTGAAAGAGAGACCAAACATCACTCAGACGATTCCCCGGGCAGCGCTCCTCACTGCGCTGCGCAAACTGCACTCGGGGCGCGTCAGACACGATGGTACTCTTGAACTAGAAAAAAGTATAGCCACCAAAGATCAAGGCTATGAAATAGTGAGCTTTGCAGATTTAAGTAAGTTTGGTATTCTCATTTTACACTGTTAATCTGTTTTAGCTGTATTGCCGTAAAACACCACTAGTGCATGTTGTGCGCTTTACGCATGTCTGTGCGTAAAATGGAAACAAAATAGGTTCCGTGTGTGTTAACAACTTAAGGTTGTACCGTTCGATAAAATGTAAACACTTAGATTTACAGCTTCTGTCATCACCTTTTAGATTTACTCATAAATATACAAATTCTGCAGGACTTGTCGTAGGTGGTAGGGACATCCACAATTTAGTGATATGGTAAAATGCTTGAAATGGGGGGGAAGTATTGACTTGTCATTTCTTTTTTACATGAATCTGCAGCATGATTTTATTAGTGGTTTCAAATGACCCCCCTTGTGTTTCTGTAACACAGGGGACTCTCAAAATGTCCAACATATTAACAGTCTGTGTTGTTCTTAAAATGTCATTGATCCATAGATGAGACAGAGAGTGGTGATGCAGCCAGCCTCAGTCTTACCTTCCAGTTTCTGCAGGAAAGTGGCCAGAGTATCCAGGTACTCCAGTCTTCTTTGTGGATCTACGTCCACTCCTCTGAGGACCGTCATCGAGACTCTCGCCTCTCTGCCCGGGTTTTTCTCTCGGCAGAAGGTGGGATGTCCAGCTCTAACCGTACCCTGGTGATGGAAAAGATGCTGGAGGTCCAGGATAGTAACTGGCACACTTTCCCCATCACCCGCACCCTGCAGGCTTTCCTCGATGGGGGCCAGCACCGACTGCGTCTGGAAGTCAGCTGCGATGAGGATGGGAAGAACCTTTGCTCCCTTCATGGCTCTGCTGACACTGCCAACCAGCCCTTCCTTGTGGCCCAAGTGCGTCTCCGTGATGACCACTCTAAACACACGCTCAGGAAACGCTCATTGCGTTGCGGTGAAAATGTAAGCGTGTGCTGCAAGAGAGAATTCTACATCAAGTTCAAAGATATCCAGTGGCATGACTGGATCATTGCACCTGAAGGCTACCATATGAACTACTGCATGGGTCAGTGCCCCCAGCATCTGGCTGGCTCCCCAGGCATAGCATCCTCATTCCATGCCACTGTCTTCAGCCAGCTGAAAGTCAACGGCATTAACATGGTTGCATCTTCATGCTGTGTTCCCACAGAGCGCCGGCCACTCTCCATGGTGTACTTCAACTCCCAGCACAGCATTATCAAAACGGACGTCCCTGATATGATAGTGGAGTCATGCGGATGTACATAAAGGACAGAGTATGAAAGACATAGTTAACATAGATTTGCTTTAACACAGGAAACTTAAAAGATGTATTTGTTCATGTAGATGGACAGAAAGATAACACAAAACAGATGAAAATGTAAGTGTTTTTGTATGTCTACTTTGGGACAACCAACTCTATATATGTTGTTACTTGTACTTTAAAAAAATAGAAGTAACAACTTAGTTTTGTCCCAAATTAGACACACAAGTGTGTTGAACTAGAGGCATCATTAAGCAGTTTACATGCACATAAACAATGACTATAATGTCACAAGCATTGTTTCTAAATTAAGGGAAACAGTAGGCACAAAGACAAAGAGATTGTTTTGTATTATAGTTAAAGAGATCACACTGTCACACATCATATTTTTTTTACTTAATTTTAAAGTCTAATATGCAGTATGTAAAGAGCTAGTTGGTGAGATCATTTTGAGTGAGTGCCTAGAACCAACTGAGTGAATTTAAATGAGATTACACACTGAATCTGAATGTAGACACATTTTTAATCTATATATCAGAGGCATTAATTGAAGAGAGGCTAGAAACTAAGAAACCTTAGGGCAGACTCAACACAGACAACAAAGAAGTCCAACTCATATCAAAGAAACTGCTTATGAAGGGCTCAAGACACACAAAGAGATTAATATGGAGCCGTCACTGTAGTGTTTTAAAGATGCATCTTTTTTTTCATTTTTCGTCATATGTAGGTTATTTATTTTGTATTTCGTAATTGCTGCTAGGAAATTTGGAGCAGAACTGACCGCACTTCTATTTTTTCAAAACATTAGCTGCAGTATTTTTGTCATGTAATAGGCTGTGTCCACACACAATATGACAAAAAATAATGCCATTTTAAAGCAAGGCTTTTAAAACAGTGAAAGATCCTTGATTTAAATTGTGCCTTCTTCATTAACTCGGGATGACAAAGTGCTACTTGGACATTGAGTATCAAGTCATCTTCCAATACCAAACAGAATCCATTGAGTGTTATTCCTGAAGCAGTCTTTTTTATGTGGGCCTGTGACACAATGTTCATATTAACTTTTATTTGTTTTCTATATTTGACGTATTTGACGTATCTTTTATCTTTAAATTACACCCAACAAACACTTTCTTTTTATTGTGAAGTTGCGGTGAAACATTTTTTATGATTGAACTGAAACGGCTTAAAGAGGTACATACAATCTGCCCTGAGTTCTGTCTGAGCGCAGCCGATGCTGCATGCAGGTTGAAATATGTTTGATCAGCATCTTCACTGTATTATTGACACAAGTCGGCTAGTCAGTTGGGTAACTATGTCTCCGACAGCATATGAACTCAAGGTCGTTTCTCAGCAGCGTGAGCAAACATTTAGCTATTGCTTCAGTGTCAGGTTATGTGAAGGTCTTCGAGGCAGGTGCGTCAACGAGCATGTGGTGTTTGCAAGTTGGCATTTATATCTCACAGAGTCTAAAGTTTTCTGGGATGATGTAAAATTAGAAGCTTTCCAACTAAAGGTGATCTGGTAATACTTTTCAGGGATTTGAAAAAAACATCTTCCTTGTATTCCAACAGCACAATTGATAGTCCTGGCTATAATTTGTAAGTGAGTAACAATGCTATGTCCATATCTAAAATAAATATCAAGTAGATATTAAAATATGCCAGCATCCATACTAAAATAACTAAATTTGATGGGCACTATTGCCCTATGATGCAACATGTAACAGAAACGGAGGATTGACTCAGCTTGCAAAACAAAGAAATCAATAGTAATAAATTATTAGAAAACCAGTCTAAACCACTTTTTATATGATTTTCAATTTTGAAAATGGCAAAGAGTCAAAGATTCAACCATCTGTCAGCACATGCCTTGTCTCGTTTCATGTTAGAAGAATTATATGCTGCAATCTTTTTTTATACCAACTATAAAAGTTTTACACTGCTAGTACCAAATATGTCTGTAGAACAGATTTGAGACCTAGGCCTTGTCTACTTCTCGTCTATGTTTACACCAAACGGTGTAAAAGCCAAAGATATTTTTTGATTTCTGGTTGATGTTTCATGGTTTTGTCCCACTGTGTTGGTGAACTGTATTGTACTGCTATGATACACAGGAGAGATCCAGGCAATAAGTCGGGGCATTGCAACAAGATTTTTCATTACATTTCTACCCAAATAGGCCATAAACATGTTTCACCTCTCTCTGTTGCCTCTAGATGCACTTGTCTTATTTCTTCCAACCTAAAACAAGCTTGTTGTGTATTTTCTTTATTTTGCAAGCACCCCCTGTCCCAGGACTCAATGTGACATTGAGGCGCCACCATAACCTAACTTATTTAAGCACTTTATCACCCTACTGTATTTTTAGAGCAAATTAGCTTGGAGGGTCTACTACCTACAACCCAGGTGGCACTAACTAGAACATCTAGATATTGTATGCCTACAGAAAGCAAATGTCAATGATGTTACTTTCTTATGCCCTAGTTTGTTTTATATGCATTGAATTGCATGTTTGCAGAGCACACAGATTTCTGTATACTGTAACTGGTGGAAATGGAGCCAGGATTTGAATTTTCTGTAAATTTAAAGTTGTAATTATTGTCTTTATTTTTTTTACATCATGCTATATTTAATGCATTATCAATGATTTGTAAAAGCAACTAAATGCAAAATGTCACAATGTGCTGAAATAATATGATTACAGTTTAAGTATATTTTTAATAAATAAATATTTTTAAATCAACCTTGTTATTTCCATTCTATATATTTTTGTATCTCTTCTCGTTAAACACAATGACACTGTGCCTTAGAACAGAAACAATAATTATAGAAATATATACATCTTGAACTGACCACAGCAGAGAAAGTATCTGTAAACTGTCCTTAGTCTCTTAACAGTTGTGGCTATTCGATATATTGGCTGGTGGTACCTTTAACAGTGAGAATATCAATGCTTTTAACAATACATTGTTTTTTTTCACCAGCTAAATGAATATACACTTTACTACCAAGTGGCTAAAGGATAAAACATGATTAAAAGTCAGTGGTATGCTTCTGAAAGCAGATCTCCTATCTTAGCCTTGTAATCACATTGGCACTGTCTATAAGGCAAAGGGCCTGTTTGCTCATACAAATAGTGAAGTGGCTTTATGGACCGTCTGTGTTTGGTGTGTAAACAATCATCTCATTCCCATGGCATGCAATCAATTTCATAGTATGCATTTGCATTTGGGATTGATTATAATGTTAAGCTGAGATAATAGTACAGACATAAATAATCAATTTAAAAAGAAACCGTAAAGTATGTTTGATTTTGTCCTGCTTATGAACTGTAAGGAATGAGTGTCCTGCTATTTTTCTATGCCACACATCATTATATGGTGAACTGTGTACACTTTGCCAACGCCCCTTTTACAGCCAACAGCCGTGCTGATGTTTCATCACTCAAAGTGGACTATAATCAGCCACTACAAAACCATTTACTAATACCAGTCATGCCTACAAAACTAAAGTACGAGACACTTATTTTTGTTTGTTTTTTAGAGATAATTAGCTTTAGGTTCATTTTAGTGTTTGGATTTTCTCATACCTGAGGGCATTGTTCAATAGGTAGTCTGGAAAAGTAAGATAATAATAATAATAATAATACATTTTATTTATATAGCGCTTTTCATAATACTCAAAGACACTTTACATTAAAATCATCATGATATAGCTCTCTCCATTCATGCATTACTGATAGAAGATACTTAACTGAGGCCTCCTGGTTTTGTGCAGTCCAGGTATTGGGAATCCCCTTCTGGGGAGACGGTGAACTGCTCTAGAATTAGCATTAATACATCAACGCTTTTCTAATGGAATAAGAGAAATGCCGAAGAAAATAATGGTAATACTTGACTACATGGTACATAAAATCTTGAGTAGTAACCAAAGAACAGGTACGGGACTAATCAGAAACTAGCTGGTTAATGAAGAGCATATCTTGCTCTTTAGTTGCGAAATACTCTGCTGTGTTCTCCAGCTAATCACTAACTTGACTATTTGTAGTTCTTCAATAACTGTGAAAGAATCGTTTAGTAGATAGAAAGTTACTTGAGACTGCTCAACACTGCGCTCCGTTACTGTGTCCTACTTCAGGGGCCGCCTTTAAATAAAGTGACCTATGTACAGCAGATTTGGGGATAGCAAGGGCTGCAATAGATTTGTTTGATAAATGAAGGACATATTTCTTAGCTGCAAAACGTGTTGTGATATATTTGGATAGGAAATGTGGACCTCGAAGGAACAAACTTATAAAAGGCGAGTTCACCCAAATCATGAAGCATATTTTCTCACTGGTTTCTTGTCAGGCATATAGTTTGGGTTATATTTGCTTGTTTTTATTTTTAAATATTCTTCTTGTATTTCTTACCACCCCAATACAATGGAAGATTTGTTTGTGGTGCTAAACAATTAAAGGGGTCATATACGACATTCAGACCACATCTATGATTCAGAGCCTGAGCGGGTACTGCCTGCACATGGCTCTCAACATGGAGATGACTGAGCTAGCAGCTAGCAGCTAACAGTGCGAACAACGGCAACAGTGCTAACAGTGTTTACCCGAGGGGGAACCGGAGGGTGGGCATCACGCTTCCATGGCCACGCCGTCATCAGCAGTAACCACCATATGCGCACAGTGCAGAGCAACAATTAGCCAGCCAGTGGGACACACACACACTGGGACTCACATGCACTAACATGTAGGTGCAGCCGGCCCGGCTACCAAAAGAAGAAAAACAGAGAAGCCTGAATTACAACACACACAGAGGCATTGCGACTTCATTCTCTGCTCAGGACACCATTCTCCCACTATATCCTTACATAGCAAATAGGTGTTTGCTGCTACATTTATTTTCTGAATGCTGTATATAACTCTTTTCAAAAATTACAAACAAAATGCAAAACTCAAGATATCTTTCCAGAAACGATGTCCCACGTACTTTCCTCACAGTTTAGTACTGAAATGGTCCCACTGGTTTTCATGGGAGCTAGCAGCAGAAGCAAAAAATAGTCTCTTCACAATAATGCCTGTAGATTATTAAGAGAATGAATATAGATATTCATCTCCATTGTATATAGGGTGGTGGAAGATGTTTCAGCAGGAGGTATCTCAAAACTGAAACTTAAGCAAATGAAACCAAAACGATCTGCCTGGTTCAATACCCCAAAAGGTAAGCATGTAAATATATTATTTTTTGTTGTGAGGATGAAGTGACCCTTTAGCCAACCTCTGCTCAGTGGTTCCTGCTTCTGTGTGACTGGTTGGAGGATAACAAATGTGCTTGTAAACTAAATGTTAGACTGAATGATGGCATGATTTAAAACAGGATAAGCAACATGTGAATAAATTGATGAATATTGATAAATCTCAGAGCCCTGCAATGCATGAAGAAAAGAGGCCTTTTGTTTATATTAGGAGAAGAACATGGTTAAAGGCTGCATGTGTGGGTTTTGGGCCATGAATAGGGTTCGGTTTTAAGATGTGAGCAGGTGAGTCCTCTTTGACACCAAGAAGTGACGTCATTGGACCCGTCAATGGAAAACAGATAGCTGACCTACTCTGGGAAAAATAAACTCACTGACTCACTGATATACTGACACACTGACCCAAAGACCCACTGTTTGCTAAACCCTATCCTTCACTCCACTCACAATCCCACAAATCCCACAAATCCCACAAAGTGTCAGTCAGACTCCTCCCCCGCTTTGACAGGAAAGCCTGGTAAGAAACTGCTCTCACTCCTTTCACACGCTTGTCCGCCGGTAAACAGTAAACAACTCTGTGTTAGGTGTTTAGATTAGTGCAGATCAGTGCATGCAGCAATTACTATTTGCCAAATCTTGCTACAACATTATGTATGGAGATTTGAGCTATTAGCATGTAGGCCTACAGCAAACAGGAAAAAAGTATTGAAAGGTTAAGCTGGTTCTGATTCCAAAAGTATCGTCAGACTCGCTGTTGACTTGGTCAAATGTAATCCCTAAGCAGAGGACAGATCAATTATTTAATTTAGTGATCTAACATGTTGACTACCAAACTCAGTGAACTGGTGCAATTCACTTTACAGAAATACATGTGAAACATAGCGTATATCTATGGCTGTCTCACATATGAGACAGTTAATGCTGCTATTCAGTTTAAATGTATGTACTTAGGGCAATGCTAAAGTTATATATGCTGGTTATATGTTCTATACTGTATATATCCAACCTATCAGAGTTTAAAGAAAACATTATACCAAATGCCTACATTATACCAAGATGTACTTTGTTGGCCTCATATTCAATTAGGTTTCACTATTTATATTAATCTTGTTTGGAAATTTCCTTTCGTATCTTAAGAACCATTTCAAAGGTCGTTGATCTGTAATGTTGTCTACATTCTTGCTCCAACGCACTTCGAATAACTTTTAAATCCACCGGATGATCCCATTACGACAGACCTACTTACCTGTTATATCTCTACGTGTTACATCAGAGGTGCCTTGTTACAAAACCATCTCCGGCATCCTCAATGTCTTGTCCTAATGTTTTTATACATTTTTTACATTGTTGCTGCTGTACTGACTGATGAGTCGCCAACTTAATTTCGTTGTATGTTTTGACGATGACAATAAACATCCTTATCCTTATCAATGTGAACTCAGAGCTTTACTTCTGACTTGGTGCCCATTGTTAAAGAGGTCATTTAATTACAATAGTCTTCCCTAGATGAATTAAGTTGTAAAAAGAAGAAAATGCTAAATGGTATAAATTATGATTATAAAAATATAATTTTCATACTCGGAAATGTCAGTTTGTAGAGAACATGCACATTTTAAATGCCTAACAGCAATATCATACTCCTTACTTATGGTACATGGAGCTATTGTGTTAGTATAGCTTCGGCTTTAGGACACTCGGTTTCAAGAGACAGTCCCACCATGTTGATTATCTTTCGCACCGTATGGGTCTAAATATATATATATATATGACAAGGGATATATTGTTGATAGCAAGCTAGACAAATTTAAAACCTACAGATTTACAGCGCAGTTCTTCAAGAAATACATGGCTACCACTTGGAGACTAGACATCTTGTCAAATATAAATCATTGAGCATATACTCGGCATGGCAAGTACAATAACGCTGACTGCATGTCAGAAAGAAAATAGTTTCTCATAACTCTCTGAAATATAAAAAAATACTTTGAAGAAATATATATATAAAATCCCCGCGACCCTGAACAGGATAAGCGGTTTGGATAATGGAGTGGAATAAATAAAATCTAATTTCTCTCATATTTTGACGTCTAGAACTGATATATGTCAGAATTGTAGCTGCTCAATAGCTGACAAGAAGAAAACTTAACTGGTGTTGATGTGTGTTTATGAGATTATTATTATCATTATTATTGCAAACTGACAGTACAATTAGTCATTTTTTTCTTCAGTCATAAAATGAATGCATCAGGCAGCCAAGTAAAATAATTTACTGGTTTAGAAAATTCAGTTCAGCATCAGTTCTGGCCACTTG